CCCCGTGATGGCAAGCTACCTAGTGGTATGGTGGCCACATTGCAAACTTGACTGATAGAATTCAGTCTGCACCCAAGACAGGAGGACTAGACGCATAACACTAGTTACTAGTGTCAAATCAAGGTATCCACCACAGTCCTCCAGGAGGTCAATAGCGAGCCCAAATAGCTCAGTGGTAACGTCGTTGACTGACTGCAACACTCACTGGGTGACGCGGGTTCGAATCTCAGAAGGGATATGAGTTCCTTCAAGGCAGCTGAAGATACGCCTTGTTGACTGTTGAGTGCCAGCCAACTAGCACGAAACCTAGGTGGTGTCCGAGGCATTCTGTGGCCCATTTATTCCAACCATTTAATACGGAGGGAAGTTATTTCTCTAAGACAATATAAAAGTCACCTTCATAATTATACATTAGTAATTTATTTTTCTAGGCAATGACTTCATTTTATTTGAGTAGTAAGTTTTCTTTCGTTTCTTCTAAGATTTCTATATTTTTTAACTCAAGGCCACATAGAACTTCAGTGAATAATCGGCGGGGGAGAGGGTGTGGGTTTGGGAAAGTTACCTCATTTGAAAGATGAGTCTAACGACATTCTGTTACAATGATTGCTGCGGCTTTTGTCTTTTTTGAAGAGTGCACAATGACATAGGCTCGAAGTTTCGTTAGTATTGAAGTTTAATTTTACGGAATGGGGTTGCTAGCCAGCTTCATGCTCAGCCAACGTTCCCTCTTTACCAGTCTTATTACTGGCTTAGCGAGGTAAAGGAGTGCGTCTAGTGACCTGGGATCGAACCCCGGACCACAGGAGGCGTGGTTAGCCAGCATTCTACGGCTGTTCCACCTCCTCAGGTTATCAGAATGGTGAAGTTCTAATTATTATAATAATATTAGTAGTAGTAGTATTGTTCCCTTGTGTTCCGAGTGGAACATACGGCTTCAACAACACATCTCCATTTTGTTCCGTTTTCTCCTGTCCTCTTCAGCTGGCTGGGCCCATGATTCCCCATAATCTATCATCTTTTCCTCCTCCCCAAAACACAATCGCCTCCATGTCACTCTTGCACTCATGAACCACTCGTCGTTTCCTATTGGGATTCCACTTGAGCGATGGCCTGCACTGACCGCGATGTCATTCGACGCTCCCCTGTCCATCTCCATTTTCCCCCACATATTTGTTGAACAAAAGGTTCATGGTTGATCTGTTCATTGCCACAGTTTCTTGTTTACTAATTCTTTCTCGCCAGCCGTTTGAACTTTAGTAGAGAGTCAGCGAAGTGGGCAGTTGTTGATAAAAGTCTTCACTGACCGGTTAAAAATGCTTTCAGTGTCTCACGCGTTGACCAAGTTTCTGACCTATAAATAGTTTACTAGCGGGAGAGTTCCTTAGCCGGTCCCAAGCTCGGGAAAAGAGGGAGGGTTTGGAGTCGGGTTAGTTACCCTGCCGCCAGGAAATCAATCAAACTACTACAGAAACTTCAACGCGCATGAAAAAAAATATATTAAAAGTAGAAAAATATAAAAAAACAAACTTTTTTCTCTTTGGAATCGGAGAGGCGAAATGACACTGTGAATTGGTTAAAGCTAGCCTTCGCGAAGGCGTTCAGCCAGCCGATTTGCCTTCTCTCGATGAAAGCAATAAAAAGAGTGGGACCTTGGAATGTACGTACAATTTACGAGGCTCATTGGGAAGGCTACCTAGGTAGCCAAAGAAATGAGAAGATATGGTATAGAAGTGGTGGGAATCTGCGAGAGTAGATGGAATAGATGTGGACTGTCAAAATTGTCACCTGGAAAGTCAGTAATCTACTCCGGTCTGGTCACCAAGACAAGAACCACGGGAACACTGAGGCAGTGAGTGGCTATCATGATGTCCTCGGTGGCAGTCAAAGCTGTAATTCAGTGGGAACCAATCTCCTTCTGCAGGATTATGACAACAAGATTCAACTCAAAAGGAAGGAATGAAGTTCACAATTAACCGGTGCTACGCACAGTGTTACAAACAACGCGTAAAAAGAGAAGGAAGAAGATTTTTATAGACAACTACAAACAGTAATGGACAACATCCCGAATGGCACCATTAAAATCCTTATGGGCGATATGAATGCCGGCTGAACTGGCAGCAGACAATACAGAAAAAGAACCCATCATGGATCGATAGGCTCTCGCTTGGCGTATTGAATGAGAACGGAGAATTATTTGCAGACTTCTGAGAATTTAATGACTTGGGGATCGAAGGCAGCGTGTACAAACACAAGGATATAAACAGGGCAACACGAAGGTATAATAAATTTAAAAGCTTATATTTTTTATTTACGCAGAAGTATTCAGTGCTTTGTAGATAGACAATATTATAACCAGCATTTCAAGTGAATAAACAATCCGCTCCTGATGTACTGTCACTTTGAATAAAGTGCTTTTATTTCTTACAGATTTCCGAACATCACTCTGCATAGTGGTTAAGTACGGGACAAACAAAATCTATTCGCGGCGCTATTCTCTTTCATCTTGTGAATACAGAACACAAAATTGATGTTAACCATGCGGCTTTCAAGATCATTTACCAAATACCAACTAATCTTAACTTTGCCTTAAGAGTTCGACTGCTAAATATTGCTCAGGCTGGCCGTTGGGATCCACATAAATTAAGAAGCCTAATTTGTGTGTCCAAAAGAAGTTAGTCCAGACATTATCATTATCTTGGCGATCGAGGTTTGAATGATCCTGATTTTTGGTGGGATTTTCCCAATTTTAGTTGATATTCTATTTGCTATTATATCTTTATTATTATTATTGTAATTTAAGCATCTTTAATGAACTGTAATTCCATTGTGATCTTACTTAACAAATCGATATTATTTAAACGAAACACCAATATTGTTATTAACTACTATTCTAGAATATTCGATGTATATAAACATACATATATAATTGTAGAACAAGAAGAGGAAATTCTCGAAAAGGATATTCGTTGCTCAATTATTTTATGTTTCTCAAATATATCAAATTTTTTAGATATAATATTAGCTTTGCAATTAAAAGTGTTCTCTGAGCTGGTTGGTTTAGTCGCGAAGCTTTCGTCGTCCTTCCGGACAACATCTTCAGCGCCATATTTAGCCCAAAGTGAAATGATTTAAATTTCTTCATGCGTGGTGTAATTGCGTCTCCTGGTTACTATCTTCACATATGTATTGACCACTTTCTATTGCAAATCATCCACCTGAGCTACAAATCTTCTCTATTATAATATTAGCTTATTTCAATGACCGCTATTTGAGTTGTACTCAGTTGTGTCTAGTGCTTTCAGCTTCTGTAACAGATAGCTGAATGAGCTATCTCTATCGGAGAACAAAATAGAAAATGATGATAAGCGTCCACTGCTAATGTTACTACTTTCACGAGTTGATCACGGACAGATATCAGTTAGAGAACCATTGAATGGTTCTCTAACTGATATCTGTCCGTGATCAACTCGTAAAACATAACTAATCCTTACAAACCAAACTATATAAAGTTACTACCTTCACCTATCCGAATCCAAAATGGAATATTTGTCTATATAAGATATGTCGAAATGAAGGATCATGAAGGATCTCATCAGTCGTTGTTAGCGCTGATCTAATGATCAGAGAATGAATTTATTGAAATTAAAATCAGTGGCTTCGTGTTCGATTCCGTATAGCATTATGATTGCACTCATTCTGCTGGCTAGTAGTCAGCAAAAGCTAATTGAATGCCTTTTTTGGAAACGATATCAAGAATGAACTCTCTTAGTCTTTTAAAAGCTTCAGAAGATGGTTTTAAGGAGGTGTATAAGTGGGACAATATTAAAACCAGGATATGACATGATAGCTTGTAGAAAAATTACTCTACAAACTGGCTGACCACGAGTTCAGATGTATACTGTCTATATATAGATTTTGTTATCGGAAACCAGGGGGCACTGGACATCTGTTTAGTTCTAGTTTGCGCCACCCTACATACCCTTACAAAGCCACATTAATGGCTACTGGGCAGATGTTCTAAAACTGTACTCAGAAGTCGTGTCCAGTGGGATCCATCATGTCGAGTTGAAGTTAATGCTCATCTACGAAATTATATAAGGCTACAGTTATATGATAAATTGGAAAAAATTTAACAATTAACGGATCACTGAATTCCAGCCTAAGTAGCTGAATGATCAGTAGGCTAGGCCTAGTAACTTCAACGCCTATTAAGGTTGTGGGTACTCGTTACTGAAGAGTCCTCAATTGGGAAGAAACACTCGTCCAGTGTATTTCTGCTTTTCAGTAACCTATCTAACTGACTTTAGTTTGTGACAAAGTCCCCACTGTTACTATTGTTGAATAGAACCTAGTAGATCTAACGAAGAATAGTCTTTTTTTCGCTATCTTTGGAGCGTTTTATAACTGTGAGCATCTTAAGGAGTTTTTAAGCATCTATACATTAGGCCGTAGATATCGGTTTCCTGCCATCAGACTACGAACGAGTCAGTTTTGATCGTGACAAGTGGTTCTAGTCCCGGCGACAACATCATCTCTCACTGAAGTACACATATATTTAGCTGATGAGTCCTAGATCGGACGAAATTAGCCTTATCAACCCCACTGCGCTAGTCACCAGTGGACAGAACAACTTCACCTCAACTCTTAGACGTATTAGTGAAGCACTGCTCCAACATAAAAATCAATCAAGAGATGAACGCACAGCGGTTAGGATGCTAGCCGACCATGCATGTGATCCGGGGTTCAACCCTCGGCCACTGGATGCACTGCTTTACTTCGTTAATAATAAGACTGATATAGAAGAAAGGTTGGCTAGGCATGAATGAGACTGACTAGCAACCGCATCCCGCAAGAAAAAAATGAACACCACCAGCGCTACAGAAACTTCAAGCCTCTCTCTCTCCCTCTAGCTTGAAACCGCCCTATATTCCACTGGGAACATGAAGGAATACAAAAAACCCCAAAAAAACACCCATTTAAAAAATTGACATACATACATTGATTCAGTAGTATCAGCGTGCCTTTCTCCTCATCGTCATTATCAATTGGCTTGTTTATCAACTGGCTGGAGGCATCAATTTCAGCTTTTAAACGATTACGTAACAGAATTGGCAGGGAATTCCATTCGGATTCATTGTTAACATTCACATTCGGCGGGGATTTCAGATTTAATAGACGTAATAATTTTCTTTTGTACTTTTCAATCATTAATAATTGGCTTGCTTCATTATTGATATTATTATTCACATTATTATTCGTGTTGATATAGGTGGCACCATTGCCGTCAGTATTCTCAGACATCCTATCGGATTTAGGCAGTTCACCTTCACGCTGTTCCCTCCATTTATTTTGATGGTCATACAGGGATTTCATGAAATGCTGATTATTATTATTATTATATCTTGATAAATAAAATTTTTCTGATTGTTTTAAATACTTTTGTGACAGGAGTGAAGCATCAACTGCAGGGAAAAGTTTTGGAAATTTAAATTCATACCGTGTTGTTGACGTCGTCGCTGACGTTGTTATTACTAGTAGTATAAATAGAATAGACATAAAATTAAGCCTAATGTATACGCCTTTTAAGAATTTTAATAATATTGTTAACAGTAGAGTGTTTATCCGACATTGATGAAAGCACTTGATGAGATAGAGGGCTGAATTCTTGTAGAGTACAATGGATAGGAAGTAGAAATATTCTCCTAGACAGAGTATTTTTCGATAGATGATACTGTGGGAACTACAGAATTTCATCGCTTAGTGTAAAATTTGTTGTTGAAGCGGATGACACGGAACGGATAGTTAGTTGATTGATTGTGTAGGATGAAGCGTGTTTATATACGCATATTATACGACCTAATTAATAGCAATAATAGCAATTGCCACTGTTATAATCATTATTATTATCAGTGTGAATAGCCGATCATACATATACTATACTACTATAAAAAGAAAAGGGGCTTACTCAACAACTAAAGCCGAATATATATATGTACATGTATAGTAATCCTTTAAACGAATCATTGTGTTCTTCGAAATGACCATGGTTAGTTACTCTTTTGTTTGTGTGTATATGTGAGTGCGTGTGACAGAAAGAGGGAGAGGGAGAGAGAAAGCGTGCCAGCGTGCGCCTATGTGAGTTGTTGTCAGATTTATGTGTTTTTAAATTCTTCCCTACTAACTCTCCGCCCTTCCCCAGGTGTCTCTTTTTTATTCAGCCATGGGAAGTATTCACCCACTGGCACATTCAACAATCGGTGTGTGTATGTGTGTGTGACATGGAAGAGGAATCCCTGTAGGCGTATGGGGTGAGTGCGTATGTGCGTCCGTGTGTGTGTCGGGGGGGGATCGGTGACTGTGTAAACTCTAGTGTTCATCACTAGAAACCTTTTCACAAACAAAAGAAGGTTACAAATATTGGTTGGCGTTTAGTTGGCGTCTATAGATGGACAGACATGAAAAATATTTTCGTCTAGAAGAAAGAAAAGTTTTAGCATACTCGAACCAATAGGATTTTTGATAGAAATGAAATCTGTTTTTCTATTGTTACGCTGTTTTGCGATACGAATGCATACATATATATTTATATATATATATGTGTGTGTGTGTGTGCAGTCTAGTCTATTTGAACAATTGGGTACCTCTGTCTGTCTGTCTGTCTGTCTGTCTATCTATTTTCAACGTGGAACTTTGCACCGATATGTAGCAGTTCAAGTCGTCACACTCCCTCCATGTAGCACACAAAGCAAGAGAAAAAAGTAGAAGAAATGCAAAATAGAGACAGTAGACGGGGATATGAGACAAAAGGAATAGTAATAACGAAGAACAATATAATTTCATTGGAAATTATATGTCACAAGGAGTGGATGCATCTGCGCCAGCCATTGAGAACGATTTTGAGCCATATCACCAATTGTCTCCAGCCTTCATTGGTTTTTACCGTCTCGAGGACCCCAACCAGTAAGAAGTCTACACCTTCCCTACGTGGCTTAAACTAACTGTTGTGGATTTCATTGACTGATGAAGCCATGTTTCGGTTTGACCGCCGCTAGCTCTTTTCCAGCCTGACCGTATGTCAGCTAACATTGCCCGTCGAGGAAGGCGATGAATAGGCATGCGTAACATATGTCCTAACCATATCAATCGATGTAATTTCACAGCTTTGTCGATTTATTTCCCCTCCTTACCTAGCACTTGATGCCTAACCCCAATATTGCTCACCCTATTATACCACTTCACCTGGGGGATAGAACGCAGGCACCTATGATCAAAGACAGATAGTCTTTTCATGTCTTCCACTCTCAATGGCCACGTCTTACAGCCATAAAGGAGGTCAGAACAGTACACACACCCTTTAGTCAATAGCCAGATATCACATCTACGCCAGAGACTGCGTAAACTGGCATGTGCGAGACCAGCCTTCTGTATCCGTGCTGAGATCTCGTCAGTGATCAACGCGTTGGAAATGATGATACTTCCCAAATAAGTGAAGCGGTCAACGTGCTCTACCACTTCACTCCCTATTTCTAAACTAGGAGTCAGTGTAGTCCATTCCTGTAACATCAGATTACATTTGCCAAACATTAGTAGATTGCAGCTCAAAATATTTAGAAGACTCTGCATTTTGTCAGCGTCCTCACCTAGAAGGATTATATCATCTGCATATTCTAAGTCAGCGAGTTTGGGTACCTCTAGACAGGAAGAGAAATCTTATCCGTCCTGTATGCTTGAGAGTTCGGAAAATTTGCTCTGTAAATATAGTCCACATAGAACTAGAAAACCTTCGTACAACTCTATTAAATAATGGATATCCCAGTAGGTTTATTGATAGAAACATCAAGAAAGTAACTGTCCCCAGTCAAATTACAGTGCTAAAGAAGACACTGTTTATGAGTTTGGTGTTCAAAGGTGACATTGTCGCCAAAGTCAGTAAAAGTCATTTATCCAAACGTTGTTTTAAACGCTCTTTTTATGCAACAGGCTTACATCTAGTACTTACCAACTGAAATATGATTCGAAAATACGTTAAGGATAAACTGCTGCTTATATCCACCAGAAAGAGTGATTAACAAGAAACTCTGACAATGAACAAACCAACGAAGAACCGATCGCTTAACAAATATGTGGGACAAGGTGGAGATGGATCGGGCATCACGTACCAGGCCCTCGAGTGGAATCCCAATGGGAATCGACGAGTGGGTCGTCAGTGTGAGGATGATATGAAAGAGATCATGTGTTTGGGAAGAGGAGATGAGAGATTGTGAGCAGTCGTGGGCGCAGCCAGCTGAAGAGGATGGCAGAAGATAGGACGAAGTGGAGATGTGTTGTTGAATCCCTATATTCCACTTGGAACTCAAGGGTATAATAAATATATGTCCACCTCTATGTGCATGTAATCATTCACATATCTGGGTGGAGCGTGTTCTCCGTTAACGCGTAGCTGAACACTACCACCCAGTTTAGTTAATGAAAGGTGAGCATAGACCGACGAAATCTTGAATTTGTGAACACATTCTTGAGTCAGATCATTCATCCGCTCACACGTGATTTATCCTTTAAAGTTATCTACAGGACCAAATCCAACCATTCCAAAAGCTTACGTTTTCTCCACTTAAAGATAGCCGAAGCTTTAGTTATAGATGGACAGACACCTAAATTATGTGTTCAAAAATGTTTTGTTAAACCCTTTTATTTACCTTGGTCATAGTAATGCTCATTTTTCTTATTTTATTCTATTCTGCCGCTTGAATTCATTCCATTTCACTTCACCTTCACCATCAACACTGTACAGTTAATTTTTCTGACAACACTTGACCTATAATTTTAAAATCTTTATACCAGTTCACTTGTTTAATAATCTTTAAAAGTGTTGTAGGATGAACCAATTAGTTTTGTCACATCGATGTGTATTTATCAATTCAACTGCACCTGCGGTGACAGTTATGTTGGGCGTACTACTAGACAGCTTAGCCAACGTGTCACTGCTGAACATCTCCCATCGTGGTTTGGCAAAAGCAATCCGTAGCTCAATTTTGTCACTTTTAGTTCATGGTAGTCATGTAGTGGAGAAAACGAAAGCATTCGAAGTAATTCATCGTATCCCACGGAATCTTTTCAATAGATTTCGTATTCGTCTACTGCACACAGATGAGGCAATAGGCATTCGAACTATTAAGCCTAAACTATGCTCATTCAAAAGAAGTTCGTACAGCCATTATCCCTCCCTTGTTGACCTATTAAGACATTACCAACTGATGACTTCTTCACCACAATTTGCTTATATTTTCAATTCGTCTCTTATCATCCCTTAATCTTATCACATCTTCATTAAAAACCTGTTTCATTTACTTCCCTTACAATCTAGCATTACTTACTTAGCCTTTATCGACAACTACTTCTACCTGAACACTTGTTTGTTTAATCATGCTGTTTTTCACTATTCGTGTTACCATAGATCGTCTCACTTTTTCATCCTTATTATTAATAAAACCATTATTATTATTACTATTATTATTATTATCATTACTACTATTATGACTAATTGCACAATTTATATTCACCATCGTATTATCCTATAGACAAAACACCCTGATTGGTTTATATTTGAATTATTTATCAAGTGCTGTTGCAAAGATGGTGCTTACTGGAACACACGGTGATAAGACGAACAATAGACTTTGACGGTTGTAGAGATAGGCACTTATTTATTGTCTAAATGAAAAGATACCGCTATCAGGCATCAGCGAACTTTGTAATAAACCGGCAGTCAACAAGAGGCTATTCTTGTTGGCAGCAAGAGGAATCTGCAATCTTGAAGAAACACATGTTTCTTTTGAGGTTCGAAAGGACGTCAGCCAGTCCTACATTCATTGAGTCACCATTGTCATGTGTCCAGTCCCTAATTTCGTGTAGACCAGAATTCTGTCAGTGATGTTTGTAGTGTGATTATATGTTTAATTAACAACAATGGTTAGGGAAACGATTCTCAGTTGATTTTATTTTATGCACGGCACTGACTGGCCAGCTGATGATTTTGACAGTCTACATACACTCGCAGATTCCCAGCATGTCCATACCATATCTTCTCATTTCTTTGGCTAGCTGGGAAGCCTTCCCAATCAGCTTCGTACATTATACGCAAATCCCATCTTCCCATTCATATTCTTGCTTTCATCGGCTGACTGACTGACTTCTGGACGGTTGGCTTTCACCAGCCTACGGTGTCATTTCGCTTCTCCGATTACAGCGAGAAATTAGTTTGCTTTTTTATACTTTTTCGTGTTTTAAATATATTTCTTGTGCATTGAAGTTTGTGTGGCAATTTGATTGATTTTCTTGGGGGGGGGGTAAGGTAGCTAGCCCTATCCCCAACCCCTCCTCTTTTTTGGGTTCGGGATCGGCTGGAAAACTAGCCAGCTAGTAAAATAGGCTAACAAGACGTTTCCGCCTCAAGTTCATACACTTCGAAAAGGCCTTCGACAGATAGTGTTGACCGTGAAGTAATTTGGGAACTGCTTCAACACTACGACGTGTAGTGACCAAATTTTCACCATTCT